ATTAACACTTGAGTTTTCAATGGAGATAAATTATTCATCAATCGAATAACACCCAGCGAGACACTGTCAGCATTGTGTGGCCTGTGTCAGCGCGTGTATGCAACGTCTTCTTATCAGAAATCCGATCAAACCTTTTAGACCGACTTAACGTCTAAAAGGAGCCGCTTTCTTACAATCCCTATCTACTACTTTATCTATTATCGTGCACGCCTTGATACGTAAAAAATCGATTTAACAATCAACGATCTGGCGGCAAACTCACGTCCTTTCCCCGAACGTTGCGATCTTCGCAGCCTCCTAACCCTCCGCCAGTCAACCCTCCGGTTAAATCTCAGCTCGCCGCTTCTAAACTTCACACACGCGTGCGAGATTAAATTGCGCAACTTTACTCCGTAGAGTTACGCAACTATTAAAAAATTTGGCGAACAGAACTTTGAGAGTTTAATATTATTTGCACTCTTGAAACTTTCGAAGAACCATCACACTCTCGAGATTTAATTAAGCGCTAAATTTTTTTTTAATTTTCGGTTTAATTTTAGGTCGGTGTATACGTATGTAATTAAATTCGCCTTCAATTGCTCTTTTAACGTTCGCTTAATATTCGTTCGCTGATTGGAAATTTGTCGAGAAATGAATGTTTTCTTTTTATTTAATTTATCACCTTATAATCATTGTGCTTCACGAAAAACTACCGTAGATAGCGGCGCGAATGGAGCATGCGTGCGAGCCTGGAAGAAGGAACGTGGGTTGCGTAATTTAAATAATTCAGGAATGACCCTGACCCCGGTTAGGCTACGGGGTGACCTGCAGCCGGCGATTACAATCACAATGCACCGCCGAGTTCTCAGGGTAAGACAGGTAGCGCCGTCTGACCCGCATACATTAAATCGAAATCATCGAGCCCGCGTTTATATACATGTATATACATATGTATAAACGGACATACGAGAGACTAAAAATATCTCAACATGAAGAGAGAAAACTCGTTCAATTGTCGTTCAGCAAATTTTCATCGCGACCAAGCATTTACGTTCCCCTCACGTCGATATGCTCTCGCTGATATTCCTCTTTATGTTATTTTTGCATAAACTTGCTGACTTGTCCGTGAACCGATTACCGCGATGTCTCGTGACTAGACAATTTTGCTTTCGATCACATTCGATTCGAGAAATCTCCTACATCAGTAGGACCTCTCACTTTTCTATTACCGCCCCGACAATAAATCAACAACTTCGAGTCGATGTTTTCTTAAACGTTCGACGGGAGACTCTTCCGTGTTGGAAAATTTAAGTCGGAATTTAGAAGAAAAAAGCAAGAACGAGAACGTTTAAAAAATTGCGTTCTTTCACGTAGCACATTTTCGCACGACACTGTGACCATTCTGCCGCTATATCGGCGGCGACGAATGAGGAGAGCTGCCGGCTTATCCGTTACGGACGGATTCGTTATTACGGTGCACGCGGCGGCCAAGAAGTCTCGTATGTTTAACCGGCACGCATTTAAACGGTGCCTGATTCGCAACATTAACATAACGGTAAGCAATTCCAGATGCCGCGGCCCGAGCCGACTGTGCGCGACTCCGCGTTCAAGGGTACGCACCTTGTCGGAGATCCCACGGTTAGGCCATGTTCGACCTTGAAATCAGCGATTTCGAGTACGGAGGATAGCTTTGATGTTTTCCAAATGATATGCAGGATGCACGCAGGAGCTACGTGAGAAATTGCGGGCCGCGGGATCGGAGTCTTTTCGTCAACTAGAGATATGCAAAGCGCCATACGGAATTATGCAGCAAACATGTGTTTATTGTTCACTCGTTGTTGCACACAACGGTTGTTTGGCCGATGTTCCGAGAGACTGGACGCGAAACGTCAATGCACAAATGATGAATGTTAATAAAAAAAAAAAAAAAAAAGAAAAAAGGGAGAAAATACCGAAGATACGAAAAGCCGCTCGCAAACGACCCGTTCTGCTGTTCTCATTAGCTCATCTGAGAATGATCGATCTGTCGGCAATCTCCGCGAATTACTGCGCAGAATGTAACACCCCGCTCGGACTATCGCGATGTAAATTTACTTTGCGCTGACGTGTTTTTTCCCACCGCCTTTTTCTTCCTCCTCTCGAGGGCAGAAATTTGCCGTAAATACATATCCGCGGTGCACCATCCGTAATCAAAGTCCGCGATATTCTAATTTATTTATGCATTCAAATGACATACTGTTGTTGCTCAAAACGGCCGGTCAATGGTGAGGCAATTAACATTTCCATTTCGCCGGCGAAATTTGTTATACATTCAACACGTGATGTTAGTTACCATAATCCGGTAATTAAGTAAATACCGCTACAATCGCGATTAGCTATTCGCTGAGTTTACCCGATTCGGCCGAATGCAATATTATCCCTCGCTGTGGCAAAGCAAACTCTCCGCGTCTCGTTTGTGGTGGTTGTATCACGGACGCATTTTCCCGCGGTATGATAATGTTCATTAGCGATTTTCCCTATCTCCCTCTTTCTTGTTTCATTCCCCTCTACTTTAGCTCGGAATTTTTCGGGCGAAGACGACGGGGAAAAAGAACGGGCGATCTGTGTGTTATTCAAGTAACGCGAGACGCGGTGTGTGCGTATATCGGTATGCGCGATATCGAATCGGTGTGACTCCTACGCGGAATTTAAAATCGGAGGACACGGTCTAAAACCGCCACCGCGTCTCCCCTCGCCCCGTATGCACCGTTGGATAATGGCGAAGGAATTCGCGCGTGCCTGCAGTGTTAACCCGTTAGTCGAGTATAAATCTATATTTATCTTCCATCAACACAGTCGATCTCGCGGCGCATTATTTACGAGCAATCCGGACGACCATAAAGAGAGAGAGAGAGAGAGAGAGAGAGAGAGAGAGAGAGAGAGAGAGAGAGAGAGAGAGAGAAGACTCCGAGAATATACACTCCCGATCGATGACTCTGTTCCCGCCCCCCCTAGAGGCACGCTTAGCGCGAATATCGCGGCTGAGAATATCCAACGGCGACCGTTTCGATAACGTATTGTCCGTTGCGAAGTAATCCCGAGCGGATTCGAGCGAGCGCATTTCGAAAGGTACCCACCACTCTCTTCCTCCCCGTCTCCCTCGGTACATGTATGTGCTACGAAAAAATATATTTCCAACGCGAACCGCGCGTCGCTGTAACTTTTATCTTCCTCCTTTGGGAAGCAGCGGGTGGCCATCACGGCTCGTAAGTTCGTCGCGCGAACGACGTCGTTCCGCGTCGCTACGACTGGAACAACGTATCGCCGCGTCGCTCTCGACCTTTCTCATTAATCTCGAGACGTCATTTCGCCGGAGCAACGACGCGACATACGCGCGCGCGCGCGCGCGCACGCAGCCCCATATAATGCCAGGCCACGCGATCGAGATTCATCGGCGGACGGCGCGGTGGCGGTGGCGGGGGGTGAAGGGGGCAGACAGAATTGGCGTTTTCGATGCTCAGGACTAAACGGCCGAAGGGTTGTAAGCTGGTATGCAGATGAGCCGACATGGTCGACCCGGAGGCGGATGTTGGCAGTCTGCAGCTACGTAGACAATAGGCCAGTGCCATTATGTCCGTCGAATCCTAAAACCCCATAGAGTCGTTCTTCTCTGTCTATTATCCCGCTGGTGGCAGGCCACATTGTGTATCCGGCCTGGCCGCGGGACCTCGGCTATTGTCGGTCCACCTAATTATTCGCAAATCTTCCGCTCGTTGCCGGTAGCGCTCACCCACCCCCCTCCTCCTCCTCCTTCTCCTCCTTCCTCTCCTTCCTATCTGCCGGTTCGCGAAATTCCATCCCGTTCCCGAAGCTGCTCGCCGATTCAACTCGCGATTTACCCGATCACTCCCGCTCTTCCCCCTTGCGACCGGATATCTCGCGATATTTGAAATTTATTCTTTGGCGCTTTTCCGATCCTGCGCTATCCTAATTCAGTGATGAACCGGTTCAACGATGAACCGAGGGAACCGAGAATCTTGAAGATGCACCTCAAATATTTAAATACGAGTGCCTTAAAACGCGCGCGAATTAAAGAAGAAAAGATGTAATGTTATGTGATGCGGTTCAAGTGGGACAGTTTTTCTAAGCGGTACATTCGCCTAACAAGACGTTCACGTTGTATGAAACCGTAGCATTTAATCAGCAGGATCGTTACGGTTGGTTCGAGCGTACAAGATAATACGACGTTTCTGCGCTCGAGCGCTGTTTCGAGCCTGTTGATATGATAACGCGTTAGTCGTTTCTTCATAATTTTGGCCGAGTACAATCGCGGAGTTGTACACCAGGTGTAAAATTTTCTCACATTATCCTAGTCTCGCGAATGACGTCATCTTTCACGAGTGAGTCAAAGCTGATAAGGAGGTTTAATTACCCGTTGGGGCGTCACGTGAAAATACCTGAATCGAAATTCTGAATCTGCAAATTCCGACACTGCGATGCACCATATATCTCTAGATGCATCAAGTGCAGCACGTGCAATAATGCTAATAAATAATATATATATATATATATATATGTGTGTGTGTATATTTTTGTTCCAACGTTAGTAAAAGAATAAATAATTAAGTGATTCTAATCATTATTGCATCGGTGAAATTAATGTTCTCGAAATTCGACGGAATTTATAAGGTCAATGTAGAACCAAAAGGTTTTAAACAGATGACAGTATTTTCGCGCGTGCCGTGAATAAGTCGTAATTTTATTTCGACACTTTCTAAAAATGTAAAGTTGGCCATTTTATTCGTAACGGCCCTGTGTAACATGGTTATTTTGGAGCCCGAACATGTTCGATTGCCGCCCGTGTGTTCCTTTGTAACCATCAGACGTTTGATTCGCAACGGCCTAATAGTTGAGGAATTGTGAGTTCCGCTCTCACAAATGCTCCACCGGATGCTCTCAATCGCATCCGAAAAATGCGCGTGTAGCACTTTGCCGATGTCGATTGCGTCGTTTATATGTGTAAGTTCAAAACTGAGACTCACCTCGGGATCGTTCAATTCCGGTCGCTTGTACGTAAACAGGGGAGCCAACTTTTCGTAGAGGTTCACGCGCTCATGAAGATTCTTGAACGGGTTTCTGGTGCTGAAGAAGTCGAGATCAATGTCCAAGATGTAAGGAGTGTCCTTTTCAGGAAGGTATTTGCGCAGTACCGAGCTGACAGCGTTGAAGTCGTCCTTCTGTAACACAAATATCACCAAATTCATCATATTTGCAGAGTGCAAAAATTGGTCATTCAATTCGCAAGGACCTATCGATCTGATCAAAAGTAGCCTTCTCTACAGAGCGTGTCGCAGTTTCATGGCATATATCCCCTACAACCTACATTTACACATATGCATATATGCAAACACACACACACACACACACACACACACACACACACACACACACACGGGCTAGTCGGCTGTACTAAACGACGCGACGACCCTTTTTACAAGACCGTACACACGGATTCCCCGCATTTTTCGTCGCCGGTAGTCGCGCTATTTTCGGCTATTTGTTACCGAAAGCGAGGTTATTCACTGGCAGCTAGCCGCGTTTGCGCGCATGATAAAACGCGGGCGTTCTGTTCCGCGAATTAGCGACGCTATATTACTCAATCCTTTTTTTCACGCTGCCAGGCAGCGCGCGCGCCGACGTTGCTGACGAAACGTTGACGATAATTACCAATAAAATGATCGATTGCCGACGTTATATCGAGCCCACGGCCCATTCGCTCCAATTTCCAAACGGGAACCCACCGTCGCGGGAAGGGTACAACACGCGGGAGGCAGGCGGCTCGGGGTCGAGGCGGGGACGACGCGCGCAACCATTCGTATGAACCGGATATTGTTCGTAGCGGGGGCAAAACGCGATGCTGCCCGCGCGTACAGAGGGCTTTTTTGTGACGCGCAAAAAACAATGACTGCACTCGAATTAATTCTGTTAGAATTGATACTCGGCCCCGGCACTGGGATCGCAATTTGCATGCGTTCACAACAATGAAATACAACGGTGCGCGCGCGTTCGTTCGTTCGTTCGTTCGTTCGCTCGCTCGCTCGCTCGCTCGCGCGGGGTGAGCTGTGTGTAATACTATCATGAGAGGAGAGGAGAAGAGAGGAGTGGAGAAAGAAGGGAGTCGAAACGAGAGGAGGGAAAAAGCAAAGCCAACAATCACCGTGCCCAGCGGTTCTCAAAGTCTACCACGAGTTGGAGCGCGCGCGACTTTCGGGGAAGGAACATTTTCGCCGGTTGAAATCGTTGCGAACGTAAAATACGCTCCGAGCGAAAAGGGTTGTCGACCGCGAAAGGGCGAGGTAACGAGACGGTTGAAATTTGCGTGTCGAGTCGGGACGATCGGACTCGGCGATTCTTCACGAACGTGAAGCACACGACATTCTGGGTGTTGCAGAGATCTGCGTCTTGCCAAGCACCTTTTCCGGCGATCGTTTATTTTATCATTAAAGAAAAAACGACTGAAGATATCGGCACGGAGAATTAACGAGGATTTAACTGGATCGACGTGACGAACGAACGAGCCAAATGTACTATGGTTAAAGAAATGAGAATTTCTCCAAGGACCAGAGAAACTCTGTTTTCTTCAATCACAAACCGTATCACCTCTGATACGTCTTCATTTACGTCACGTTAATTCCAAAATCAATCTTTTTTCTCCGTGGGCGAAGATGGTTGCACGACAAATTTATTCCACACGTGGCTCTCAAATGTCGATTCGACGGAGAAATGAGATAATGCGCTTCCTATCGTAACCGCACGTTTTTCTTTCTCGACGGAAAATCAATTTAGCCCGTTGGCGATGATACGCGGCCGACTTTTTCGTCATCCGTCACGAGATACGCGCGCGATCGAGTACGCGGAATAATTACGCGGCTCGAATGCAGCTGCAGAATTTTGCAGAAGCGGAGCGATGAATTTTTTTTCGCTCTCAATCTGCCACGTCTCGGGCTGATAAGAGCACGAGCGTGCGCCTTGCGCAACCTTCGCGTTGCTTCGCTCCACAGATGTTCATCTTGTGCGTCTCTTTGTCTGATTTAACGCGACCGCGCGATCTCTGAACCAGATCGCAACGCGAATCTACAATCCGGTCGGCGATGATGCCAACGCACGAAAGCAACGTTCTTAAACGACATCTCGATTAGAATCGCTCAAGATATTTTCTTCCGTTCTCTTTTCCTCGAATTCATCGAGTCTGACGTATATCTGCGCACACGTATTGTATAACATTATCGTTCCAGCTCTTTTTTTTTTCTTTTTTCAAGCACTACATCGATATTGTGTCCAAGCGAGGTTACGTCATCCGCGTCGTTATCGCGGAGTAGTGTCAGCTAATTTTGTGTAGACGTACAAGATAATATATTCGCTACTGGCTAGCAACAGTATCAATTCTAAAAAAAATATGCCGTTTGATAGTGTAAGTATATTATCCTAATAATAAATTCGTGTGTTGGATCATCATGCGCTATATTATATATCGTGTATATTTACTACTTGATACGAAAAAGCATGGATATAGTATATAGTGATAGTATATTTGCGAGTTTGCGCAAATTAATTTTGCGAAAAGTGGCCGCGGAGAGGTGGCGGCATCTCACGAGGAACATCTCACAATAATCGCGATACTCGTGTAAACGTAGCTCACGTAGCTGCTCGTTTAGACGTATCACGAGAAGTCGAGACACGCGGTAAAACGCATAGCCGCAAGAAATTACCTGCGATTTGCTCGGGCAACTTTTTAATTGCATCGACGTATTCCTTATCGCGCAAGTTTACACAGCAACAAGAGGAAAAGAGGAAAGCGGGGGGCGAGGTGCGCCGTGTGAGTGTCAAGACACGCGATATTTGTGCGCTGAATGATTTACGGAGGAAATTCTCATTGGACGTCTCTCTCCTTTTCCCTTTTTTTTTACAAATTACTTGGCGAGCGCGGATAAAAGAATAGGATCGCCGCGGGCCGGAACGCCGGTGATGATCATCGAGGGGGAATTTTTGCGCTTGCGTTATATTGTTTTCGAGAAAATTCTCTGATAGTTTTGCCTTCTTATTCCCACCAAAATGCCCGGCAGGTACGCGTTAACATTTGAAACTTCCCTTGCACGGGCTCTCGATTGCACGCACGGCGTGCGAATAAATCGCGCGCACACGCGTTGAGAACATTCCACTCGATATCCACTCAGCGATTAATATTTTTAACCGAAACATTATGTACTCACACGCGTATGTTTCATTCGCGACAGTTGCCGTGTCCGAAGATGAATAATGCGCGTACGCATGCTTCGCTTTTCTCTTCTCTTCTTTCGCGATCATTCGCGAATCTACAGATCTCTGTGACTCCGTAACGTGGTCGACTGATTGTCCCTATCGGCGCGTCGTGCATCATCGAAAGAAACGCGACGCAGGGTGTGAGTGTCGCTCTCGCAATTGTCGGCCGTGATATTGGAAAGGCGGCAAAGCGAAATGTCATTGTCGGCTAAATTTAAATCGCCCGAGCGCGAAAGTCGGACGTTGCACCCGGCGCGCAAGTGCAATAACGTGCGATAACACGCCTCGACTTCGATTTCAGCACGTATTTTCATCCGCACGAATACGTCGCGAGATTAGCACGTGATCGCGCGATAACGCTCCGCTATTTTCACACGCACGAGTCGCTCGCGCTTCCCGCCAAAATCCCGTTCGCGTGTTTCGCTTCCTACGAATCCGCGCGCGCGCGTCAAGTCCACGTATTATCGTCGACCTTGCGATGGGGCAATTGCAGTCCTGCGATCGGAAACGCGATTGCAGACGATTCCTGCGCGCGAGTTCCGTTAACGAGCGTTTAGAGCGCGTCTCTGAGAGCAGTTGGCAGCGGGGTCCGAATTTACACGGATGAATATATGCTCGAACAACGGCAAACGAGTTTAGCGAGGAGCACGTGGCCGCTCGTGCGGCCTCCACGTGCGTGCATATGTGCGCATGCATGCGTACGTGCGCACGCCATGCGGCAGATCGTCGGTCACACTACCGTCGCGGTCGCAATTAAGGTGAGCGCGGTGCCATATGCAAATACCCGTCCATTGTCTTGACCCAAAGTGGCGCGATCTCGGCCAGCTCATTGTGCATTCACGGACAGTTATGAAAGAGAAAGGAAGAGTGAGAGAGAGAGAGAGAGAGAGAGAGAGAGAGGGGGGGGAGGGGATGGAGGGAGGGAGAGCATAGTCGCGCGAAACTCACAGCATGCTCGTCATTATAACGCACCGCCGCATAAACGCGCACGGTATGTAAAAAAACGCCTATTTCGGACGAGATCTGCGCCGCGATTTGCATATATGCGATTTACGATTCGTCTCGCAAGGGGCGTTAAAATTGGACGGAAGGAAAGTGACAAGAACCGGCCATTCCGTCGGCGGTACAGAATCTAACAGCGACACAAAGGAGACCCGGGGCACGTTCGCGTAAACGGAACAAATCCGGACGAGGAGTTAACACGAGCGCCCGCGAGCATTCCTGATCGGGGCCGCCTACGTTCCACGCGCGGTGACGTATCTTTTTGCTACGTGGGGCCGCCGCGTGCAGAAATCTCGCGCCGTACCCACGACGACGCTGTCGGTGTTCGTAAAGACGTCGAGCCTACCCTCTCTTCGATCAACGTCGCGCGGCACGTTCGACCACGTTAAGGAGCCAGCGAGCGAGCGAGCGGCGGCGGCGACAGCGGCGGCGAGTCGTCACGACGCGAGCCAGCACGTTTCGTAGGAGGGCTCTCTCTCTCTCTCTCTCTCTCTCTCTGCTCGTGGACGAGTCGTCTCCGGCTGTGCTCAGTATGCAAGCTCAGTGGTGACCGCATCCGGTAAGGTGCGCGCGCTCGCAAGCTCGGAAACGTTCACGTTGCATTATGTATCCGTCCGTCGATACCGGCCACCAGCACGCGTCAGCGCGATGATAAGAATAGAATAATAGAATTTTCTATGAGCCTCTCCTGTCATGCCGACGACCACGGCGCGGGGAGGAGGACAGGATGTAGGGTTTATTGCAAAAGGAACCAAGTATGAGACGGAGTTGCGGTGCGGTGAGCTCCGCTCGTCTCCTCTTTTCTCTCCTCACCTACTCTCGAACGGGGAGGTACGACGCAGCGGGGAACGTCGCTGCTACGTGTATCTCGTCGCCGGATCTCGTCTCGTACGCCTTTCTTGTCGGTATCGGAGCC